CCCCTAGACAAACCTCGCACCTGCGGCGCTCGGCTCGTGCCTTCGGCCCTCGTTTATCAAGGGTAATATTATAGGGGCGCATATTAGTTGCCAGCCGACTGGCCCCCCCAGAAAAATAGTACCCAGCACGCCACTGTTTTTAGATCCAAACGTGGCTGGACTTTCTCTGTCTCGTTCTTGGGAGGAGTGACTCCTACCATTTGCTGCTGAATAAGCTCTTGTTTTGGGCCGCTTGGCTTTGCTCTGTTTTGAGGGGGAATTTGCGCAGTGCGGACGCTTCTTCTGTCCGGTATCTGCTGTCTTCGTTTCTTCTGCTTGTCGCCACTGCTGTTAGCTGTTGTGGTAGCGACCGGTTCTCGTTTTTGGTTCGCTTGTTTTTGTTTTCTTTGATGCTCGATTTCTTTATCTTCGGCGAAGAATTGTTGCACGTTGCTTAACATCTTGCTGAGGTCTGGGTAAGGCCTGAAACTGGTACGCTGCCATTTGGGGTTGGGTAGCACCGACCGGATTAAAAGCCCTTCGACTTGGCATCGGATGAACAGTTTTTAATCGTGGTTGCGGATTCAACTGCTTTTCTTTTAGGGTACTTAGATGGTACCCGACTTTGTTGGGTCTTTGTATTGGTTCTGGCATTCGGTGAGGAACTGGTGCGCCGCGACCAGCTGTCACTAATTGTCTCATCATGGATGCTGGTTTATGTACAAGTACGCCAGGTTGGTTGGCAACACTCGTGGTGGTGGGGTAGCTGGGGCCAGTGGTTCTGTAGGTGAGCCCAGCAGGGTAGTTGGTTGGTGTTAATTGCTGCACAGGAACTTGAACTTGACGTGGAAACGAACCCACAGCACCTGGGAATTGGTGGAAACTCAAGCGGGAAACGGGTAATGCATGAGCTGGTGTTACAATCGGCGATGTCCCAGTGTGATCGCTAGACGATACGCTGCCTTGCAATGCTGTAGCACCAGTGGCCTGCATGGACAACACGGCATTGTTCACGTGATAAGCAGGTGTTACATTACTTTGTCCTGACACTGTTGGTACCTGGCGAACGTTGGGGGCAATCTGGTGGGTAGCACTTCCGGAAGGGCCACTAGTTGGAGGTTGAAATGGTTTAGCATGGACATGTTTCGACATTTCAGATTGCCCTAGAGCTGTATATTGTTGTTCCTGTCGTCCCGATGGCGTTTGACTTTGCTGGCGCTGCTAAATATATCATAAACAATAGTGTCATATCTCATTTAACCGATCAAAAAGACACATTAAAATTTTTTGTCAGACAGACCTGGTGAATTTTGGCTTTTTACATGCAGCCAGGTAAGGATTTGTGTCAGCTTATCACCGTCTGCTGTTTGCGCGACGACCGTGTGTTGTCAAAGCAGCAGGAATGGTCGACTTAGCGCCAAAACGTCCACCCCCTTTCCTCGAAGAACCTTCGACTACTTCCTGCTGCTTTTTGGCTAAAAAAGAATTCTTATTGCCAGAATGACCACCACGAACCGCCTTACGTCCTCTATAACTACCACGGGAGTCCTATCATTCCCCATGGTTCCGGAGAGGGTTTACGGGAAAGGCTACGAAAATTACAAAATCGAGCAGCTGGAATAATTACTAGGAGCAACTATGAAATACGCTCCTCCCCAATTTTGAATAACTTAACTAGCCGACACTAGAAGATAGGCGAATGAAACAAAGATATTGTCTAACTGTTCAAAGTATTCTACAATATATCAGGCCCATCTTATCTTTCGCAGCCATCGTTTAATCGAGCGAATTTAATTCACAGTCATAGTACACGAGGTCATGACTACAATTTTGTTATTTTGTTGTTATTTTTTGAAAAATAGTCTCGAATATAATGGAGCAGTGTTATGGAATTCAATACCAATTGAATTAGGAATTCCACCTCACTAAACATATTCAAAAATAAACTGTAGAAATAATTTGTTATGTATATAGTTTTAATTTCTCATTTTTCTTGAAAATATTGTAAATAATTAAAATGTCACGGCGCCTAGCAAGATCGTACTATTTCACAACTCGGACAAAAACTAAAATATTTACAATTCTTTGCTTGCACTGCATGACGTCACTATCATTAGGCGCCATCTTGGTTGATTTAATTTTAAACTTTCGTTAAGCCGTTTACAGCAAAGTAGTTGAGTTAATTTAACTTTTTCTGGTTTGTTTTGAAAACATGTTACTGTATTATGGATAGTTTATTACGGTCTTTGGCTCAATACGACAAAGAATGAGGAGTATGAATTTTATATAGTTGCCACGTGTATTTTGAAAATCAACCAATATGTCGTCGATTGCAAACAAGCAATATGTGATCTTCCAATAGGCCGCGCTATATATGATTAATTACATGCAATTATAAAAATAATTTATTAAGTTAATACAATAAGATCGAAGAGAAGTGATCAGGCACCATATTATTATTTACCTGATACATAATTGTGCATAATTGATTATTTCTTCCGAGACTTAGGGAGCGGTCATTACGTATGGGGGGTGGGGGTGGGGGGGCAAAATTTTTTGTGAGTAAAAGGTTGGATAAATGAAAAACAAAACAACTCAAGTGTTGGGTAATAAAAATTTATTGTCATTTCCAAAGCATGACTCACTCAAATATTGAAGACTGAGAAGCAATGTCAACAGTCATAAGTCAATACAATATGTGAATCAATCAGAGTCACTACTAGTCTTGATCTCTGTTTTCCGATTTGTTGGAAGACAAATGGTCATGTCTTCAAAAAACGTACATGTGCAGACAACATGAAACTTTAGACTGCAGAAAATTTGACAATTCGTTATCAAACACATGTCACAGAAGCGGGAAAGAACATGTGTGACAACTGCATGAATGGTATCTTTTTGTAAAGTTTTTGGCCAGGGGTGGGTATTTATTTTTTAATAGATACTTGAGGTCGGGTAAACAAATTTTTTACTTTTTTAATGGTTGGGTCAGCAAAATGTTTCCCACGAAAAACATTTCTCTTCGGTGCCACCCCCCGCCAAAAATAATGACCGGTCCCTTAGAATAGGTAAATCTAATTTGTTAAGTATATCGGCTGACTTAAATTCATACCCACGCTTTGTAATAATACGTGCTGCTCTTAATTCCAAGACAACCCCATACTTGCGAGCAGTAATCAAAGTGTGGTGGAATAAGATCTCTTAAGATTTCGTCTAAGGACGTAAAGACCCTTGTTTACTTTCTTTGTAATTAGTCCTACTTGAGAATGCCAGGTTAGGGTCTCATCTACCATCATACCCAGTGACTTAGTAACGGTTACTCGTTGAATAGGCGTATCTCCAATTTTATTTGCAATTTGGAGTTACACTGTTTAAGTTTTTGGTGTGATCCAGTAAGCATATATTCAGTTTTGCTTTTGTTCAGGTTTTCTGTTCATGTTTATCAATAATTTCAGTAAATTTATTTTTTCATATATACCACATTCGGTTAGGATCCGTGTATTAATCCAAGTTATGGGTTTTGGACCATGCTATATCGCTCCTGTTCAATTTGGACGACAGGCCTCGGTGCTTAAAGAAAGTTCACAATCACTTTTCGTTTGAATAGGATGTATCCGGCGGACGCTTTTGGGCAAAGGTCCTTCATCGGAGTTTTTGCTATCTCTATTCTTTGAAATGTTCTCATCCCAGTTATCTTTGGAAGAAAATCCTCTCCGGCTACTCTTCCCTCGACCTCTGCTAGCACTTCTTGCTTCTTGTCTTTGAAAACGTGGCGGTTTCTCTGGCTGTTTCCGCCAGCTACGGGTTATCTGTGAACCCCCTCTTCCCTTTCCGCGCGAACTATATGACCCTCTTGATCGACTACTCGAATAATTTGGCCTCTTGTCATCTCTTCGTCCGTCATCTTGCTTATCAAACACTTCTTCAGAATCATTTTCATCATCATTCTTTGATGCCGCACTAGCTTTTCCTATGGGTTTTCCACTACTTATCACACGACCACGACCGCGCATCCCGCGTGTTCCACCATGACTACCACGTATTGAAGACGCATCACCGCGACGAGTTTCGTTGTACCGTCGGTGATCTCCCCCAGGGCTTAATGTACCTACAGCAAATCTGTCAGATTGTTTTTTCATGGAAGAAAGATTCTCATCTTGTTTCTCAGTTCTTTCACTCTCCATATTAACATCTTGTTTTTGAGGAATAGATTCATTCTGCTGAATATCTTTATTCTGTTCTCCTTTGACACCAGGTTTACGTGGCTTATCAACGTTCGACTCTAGTTTTTCATTACTTACTGGCTTGATTTTATCACGCCGATCTGTTCGGTCACTTTGTTCTGTGCGATCACGACGATCTATACGTTCTCGTTGATCTGTGCGATCTCGCCGATCTTGTCGCTCACTTTGTTCTGTGCGATCACGACGATCCGTATTCTCGCGACGATCATTGCCCTCCCGTTGCTCCTTGCGATCTCGACGACCCATACGCTCACGTTGGTCCGTACGATCCCGACGATCTGTTCGCTCACGTTCATTTCTATTACGTTGGTCGGGTTTGTCTTGGTCTCGTTGGTCGCGCTGGTCTTTCCGATCGCGGGAATATGAATTATTACGCCGATCAGTATGATCCTGTGTCCTATAAGATTGCCGAGTCGCATCACGATTTTCTCTTTGCACACACTTTCGTTCTTCTGCTCTAGAGTTTATTTCACTGTCCCAAGTTTCGGCACTTGATTTGACAGGAGCTTTGCGTTCGTCATTTCTTTTTGGTTGTTCACGACGCGTTTCATCACGCGGACGGGGTTGTGTGTCATCCTGTCTGTGACGACCATCACCATAGACGTCTGTTTCACGTCTCTTTTCAACTTTTGTGTCACCCGAATCACTCTTGGAAAAGTTCTGTCGCTCTCTTTCTTTGTTAGGCACCAATCGTTCACGCCTTTCTCCTGTTTTTGATTCATACTTTTGAACTTTCGTGTCACCCGAATCACTCTTGGAGAAGTTCTGTTGTTCTCTTTCTTTGTTAGGCATCATTCGTTCACGCCTTTCTCCTGTTTTCTCATGTTTGTCGTCAACAGGTTCGCGTTTTTATCTTTCAACATTCCGCCTGTCTCCATCTCGATGATGTTTTTCTGTGTTAGACTGTTGGCTATCATCCTGCTGTCGTCTATCATCTCGTTGTCGCCTGTCACTATCGGGCTGTCGTCTATTACAATCCTCAGTTTTGATCTTGACCATAGATGCATTTCCAGATTCTGCCTTTGACGTTTCTGCTATATCGATACCAAGTGGCGTTTCGTCGAAAAGAGATCCGCTCATCGACTGAACATCAAGCTCAACGGGGTCACGTTTATTCATATTCTGCTGTCGTCCTTCATTCACAGTTTTGTCCTGGAAGTTAAAATATAATTGCTAAAATTTTAATCATGTGTTAACGTTTGTGCATCGTGAATCCTAGTACCGTTAACTAATCAAAAAGGCATATGACAATTTCCTTGTCTGACAGACCAATCAGATGAGAAGCCGCAATTTTGTTTTTTTACATGCAGCCAGGTGAGGATTTGTGTCGGGCCCTCTTAAACTTCCAACCACTTTAACAACCATTTAAGGGGAAAAAACTCTTATTGGTGCAGTGTTGCTGCAAAAGGAAACAGACGTAGTGCAATACCCTCGAGTCAACATCATATTCCAGGAATAATATATACCTGTGAATTTCTTTCGATGTTTGGGTTTCTGTTTTCATTCGAGTTGCGTGACTTTGCATTCTTAACCTGAGGTTTTGCTTTCTGTGTTTTGTTTACATCTCGGGGACGAGAAGCACTGTGTGGTCTGCCGTCATTCTTCTAGAAATGTATTAATGTTATTAGTTTATAAATAATTCATAAACGTATGTAGCAATGGCGGACACAAGGGCCAAATAATGGGTAACTGTGTAATAAAGCTGTAACAATACTTTTACAACCATGAAAGCAATGGCAAGCGGCAACAAGTTTAAAGAACTGAGATTTGCAACCAATGCTGGTAACGTAGTGACAACTTAAATCCACTCCCCCCCCCCCCCCCC